CACTCTACCTTTCACATTTACTAAATAAACAAAAACAAAAACAAACAAACAGCCCTCTATCTCTGATGTCATATACAATCCTTATGTCACCTAGGTTGAAATATTTCACCCTAACCACACAACAAGTAGACACTCAAGTTTTCTGGCAGCTCAAAGTCCTTACTTGACTTTTATCTTTTTTTTTTTTTTTTTTTTTTTGACAGGCAGAGTGGACAGTGAGAGAGACAGAGAGAAAGGTCTTCCTTTTGCCATTGGTTCACCCTCCAATGGCCACCGCGGCCGGTGCACCGCACTGATCCTATGGCAAGAGCCAGGTGCTTCTCCTGGTCTCCCATGGGATGCAGGGCCCAAGCACTTGGGCCATCCTCCACTGCCTTCCCGGGCCACAGCAGAGAGCTGGCCTGGAAGAGGAACAACCGGAACAGAATCCGGTGCCCCGACCAGGACTAGAACCCGGTGTACCGGCGCCGCAAGGCGGAGGAATTAGCCAAGTGAGCCGCGGCGCCGGCCTTGACTTTAACCATAGGAAGAAAAGGACCAAATCCTCCAACATAAATACAGCACTTTATATGTGAAAGTTGTATTTAACTTTTTAAAGCAAATCCAAATTAGTGTTAAAAAATCAACAAATGATTCTGATTCCGGTCTATTTCAAATACATGCTTCAATACAAATAACTATTTTAGCAGTAACAAAGTTTCCAGTTTGACTTAGCTGGCACTCAGCTCCTCTATACAGGCCCATCCTGAATCTCACCAGTTACTTAGTTACACAGATTGAGAGGCAATTCTGTCTTATGAATAAACTGCCTTATCAGAGGGTTGAAGTGTAACTATCTGGCAAGCACAAACTGTACTACTTGAGGAAGAAAAACTAAGTCTAACCCAAGGAACCATGATTAACAAAGAAAATCTTTTGGTTTCAGGAATTGAGAAGACAAGCTGGCCATTACAGGAAGTTGTATTAACGCTGACAATGTTAAAACTATTTACAGAAACTGGGAAGCTGTGAGGTGTTCATTCCACTGTCACACACTGTCTTGCTTATAAACCAGCATTGCTTACATTTTCCATTAAGAAATTAAACAACAATATTAGCAGCTAGTGACTCCTAGCTATTCTGTTAGTTCTGATCCACACCTCCAATTATAGCACATCCCAGCCAACCCTGGACCCCCATCATCTCTGCCATCACCCAAGCTATCAATTCTCTAGCTACTCTGACCTGAGAAGCTGTTCTAAGGGCGGGAACGCATCAGTGCAACAGCAGGCAGTAGCATCACAAACTTTTACTCATTATTATCCTTCTAATATCCTTAACATGCTAGTTTTTAATAATTAAAAAATTACCCTAAGTTATATAAGAAAATGCATCTTAAGACTTTTACTTCTCACAATAAGCTATTTATCTTACCCATAATGAAACAAACCAAAAAGGAAATGTTCGCCTTGGGGACTTGGGAAGGGAAATAGTCATGTTTGCACTTGAAGTTATTACTAACAAGAGTATTATTACTAATAAGCCTATTAAAAACTTACACTGGAGCCAGCGCTGTGGCGTGGTGGGTAAGGCTGCCGCATGCAGTGCCGGCATCTCATATGGGCACCAGTTCAGGTCCCGGCTGCTCCACTTTCGAGCTAGCTCTCTGCTATGGCCTAGAAAAGCTGTGGAGGATGGCCCAAGTCATTGGGCCCCTGCACCTGCGTGGGAGACCTGGAGGAAGCTCTTGGCTTTGGATCAACACAGCTCCAGCCATTGTGGCCATTTGGGGATTGAGCCAGCAGATCTGCCTCTGCCTCTCTGTAACTCTGCCTTTCATATAAGTAAATAATAATTTTTTTTTTTTAAAGGTAAGCTGTGTTATCACTACTCTGCCCCTTGCCTAAAAATTGATTAAAGGGCAATCACTCATCTTAAGCAAAACACCAGTCATGGAGAACCTTACAAACTACTTTTTCAATTTGTAGTAATAAGTTTGATAATTAACCATTAGCTGAAACAAAAAGGCTGGGTCAGCACTGTGGCATAGCAGATAAAGCTGCTGCCTGCAGTACCAGCATATCATATGGGCGCCGGTTCAAGTACCAGCTGCTCTACTTCCAATCCAGCTCTCTGCTACGGCCTGGGAAAGCAGTGGAAGATGGCCCAAGTCCTTGGGACCCTGCACCCGCATGAAAGACCCGGAAGGAGCTCCTGGCTCCAGATTGGTGCAGTTCTGGCAGTTGCAGCAAATTGGGGAGTGAACCAGCAGATGGAAGACCTCTCTCTCTGCCTCTCCTTCTTTTGCTATGTAACTCTGACTTTCAAATAAATAATATAAATCTTTAAAAAAAAAAGCTAATTTTAATATTGGTTACTTTATATCTGGCAATTCCTCCTGCCTCCCCTATGGTCACCCTTTCTACACAAAATACAAAAAGTAATATTGCCAAACATAACGAAAGAACACAAAAAAATCGTAACCATATAATACAAAGACTTCCTCTTAGAAAATTCTAAAACTAGCATATAGAAATAATTCATGTTCTGCAGAAGGAAAAAAGTGGAGAATTTTTTTTCTCTGCAAGATCATAATTCATAATGCCTACAACATGAGGAAATATTTAAGTGTCAAGCCCTATGCGAGTAGGAGAGGAAAAGACAGGTCGCACCAGAGGCGTATTAACCTGTTCTGTGTTAATGACAGAGCCAAGCGTGAAGGTAAGCAGGTCCCACATGGGGGACAGTGTGTGCTAGAGGCAAGCACACTGAGGAGATAGAGCACAGAGACCCGGTCCAGCCAGAGGACACAGAACACGTCAGCCATTCAACCAAATCACCTACTGCTAACAACACAGATCACTCCGCCCCATTCCAGATTACTGAAGATCTTCAGGTGCTGGAATGTGGGAATTTGCTTGCTGCATTTTAACAAGCATAACGCAAGGGATCCAGGGACCAAACTCAGTCTCGTTCAAATCAGATTCCCCTGCTCGAGGTGAAGGAAGGGAAAAGATCTAGTGAACAGGTCCAGTGAAGAAACATCCTGACGGGACTACATACAGACAGTCAGGGAAACACAAAGTCAGGGCTTGGAACAGAAAACCAGGCGTGCAGGAATCAGGAAGTTACAGGGCACGTCTAGCAGCCTACTGAAATCTACTGTGGGACTCACAGGGAAGCCAGTTAAGGTCAGGACTCTCACGAAGAGGCCGCACTCTGTGAGAGGCAATGGAGGATGGTCAAACTTTCGGAGCGAATCCATGCTGTGTTTGAACGAATTTCCTTGCCGTCCAGGAAAGATGCACTAGGACAATAGCGTAAAGAGGAAAGGAGGGACTCTATGTAAGAGGTTTTCTAGAACCAGGAAAGACAGGACTTCAGGATTAGCTGTACATAGATAAGCAGAAGGAACTGACAACGACGGATTCAACAGGCCAAGAGTCTTAGTGTCCAACACCAGGCCAAATCCCAGACGGCATACGGAAGGTACATCATTCATTCAACATAATCACTGAGCACCTGTGACATGCGCCATGCACTGTTAACAATGCCAAGGATACATCCAGGAAAAAAATTCCGTCTTCCAGGACTTTAAGGAGTACACTTCGCCCTACTCCTTTTTCTGTGAAGAGAAGTATGTCCGGAACCTGACTCTCGCCACCCTAGAGGACTTCCTGACTCTACGGCACCACCTGCCTCAAGTCGAGAGCACGCAGGTCCTCCTCCTGAGTGGCTTCGCCCGCGTGCTCTGCATGACACGTACTCGGGGACACTCTCCCATGCCCAGCTGGCGTGCCAGTCTTGACGTGATGTCAACGCCCCAACTGTTAAGGTCAGTAAAGCCCAACTTCAATTAAATGGTAAAGGGCTAGATCTGGAACCTTCCCACAGGGACTTCCAGGGACACAGCTGTTCACTGGTCCACTCAGTCAGTATGTGCTAGATGCTCATCACAGAAGGCTGTTCCTGCCCTGATCTTGGAGAGGTGAACCCAGAGCCTGACAAAACCTGCCATGTGGACTGCTGAGAAAACGAACTAAGGAGAATAAGCAGCACTTATAAAGAGGCAGAGTGAAGGGAGGTATGTGCAGGAACTTATGCAAGCAAATTTAACAACAACAAACACTGACCAAAGAACAAAACATGAGTCAGAATCTGGGAACTGGATGGAGGTCACCTGTCAGGTTACATGGTTTTCCATATACAATGCTCCAGCTATTCAACTTTAATAATAATGTGACTTTCAGAAAAGGGCAAATTACTTGACAAGACAGATATACACATGAAAAAAAGAACACAATCAAGTTCTAATTATACGATATCCAAAGAGCCATATTTATAGAAAGTAAAGATTAAGGTGTCAGTTTTATAAGTTACCATGAATACTTTTCTAGAACTTTTAATACCCAAGATTGCTTCTGAGTACAAACCATAGCAGCAAAGACTGCCGGCTGTCCATCACTGTGTAGCCACACCCATCAATGTGGATAGCCTTGATGTTGGTGACATCATCACACAACTTCCCAAGCAGTTTTACTTTTCACTGTCACTTTATTTTAGACACTTTACATTACAGCACTTCAGCTCTGAATTATCTCCAAATTGCATACGCTTTAGATTTTTATCACTGCTGGAATCTTTCTGGTCTTTGGCAAATAAAACTCAAATACAAAGTAGTCACAATTAAATTATAAAACACTTGATGGAAAATCTATTTCAAAGGATATTATCACCATAATTGGGAGGAAATTATTTTTGGCGAGAGCAAAATTAGAAATGCCTAAGAAAATCATCATGACTTTACTTTCAAAAACAAAAAAACAAACAAACAATAAGTTAACCTCATTCTTAGCTTACTTACTAAAAAGTTCATCATACAGCAATCCAAAGACCTGATGCTACATTTCCACATTTTAGGGGCAAATTATACTGTGGAAGTCAGTGAAAAAAGTGTGCTAACAGTAGGCATTATTAGATATCTTTAAAATAAAACCACAATTTAAAAAAAAAGCTCTTACCAGTTGAAATTCTCGACGCCGGTCATAAGCATTCTGTATGCCACTATCTGCCCATAACGCTCTTATAGCTGGAAGGTATTGCAAAAAAACCCGCGTCTCCACCGCTCCCTGGGACACCGCACGGGCCCGGGTGTCAAAAGCCATCATCTTGTCTCCATGCAGTTGGTTTGCATTATCTCCCCAAGGAATGTGAAGCTTCTCTCGAGCATCCACCAGCACTCTCATACCTATGTTCAAAAAGAAAAACGGGAATGGGGAAGAATCGTGAGATACTATCCTAAGTTTTCATTCCAATATTATTTCCTTAAACTTAACTACTGCAGCCCTCCTCCTCCAAAAATAGAGACCAACACCAAAACAAACCCCAGTATCTCCCCAGCTATGGAAAGCAGTTGCTCAAGGTTGCAAAATTAGAGCCTTGAAAAGTAAATACTAAGAACACAATTGCTCTTTCTGCGGGCCTCTCACATGTTGCAATTTATAAAGTAACTTCTGGGGTAGACAGTGGTCAAAGGAAAACTAAAGTAGAGGAGAAAAAGAACTGACGCTGCACTGCCCAGTGTCCAAGCTGTGAAGATGACGGCTGCAAGCACTGGTTCATGAGGCTGTCTAAGACACTTACTTTACTTAATACTAAGAACCAACACTACAGCTCTGCGTTCAGTTCTTTCCCTGAGTCTTCTAGGAATACATTCAAAACTCAAAAACTTCTCCCAGACCACACTCAAACGAGTATGAGGCTCAGGGGTCTTACAGCTCCCCTAAAAGGGTGGAGGGCCAATTGCAGAATGACCTAGAAACAGACTTCAACTCAGAGGCTAGGTCAAACTCACATCCCTCAGGAAACTGTTACCTCTGGGCCACCCTGCCAGTCACATGGCTATTAGCAAGTCATTTGTTTGGATAATCCAGGAGCTGTTTGGCTGTCAATTTCCTGAGCATGCTAGCTCAAAAATAAAACGAAATGCCTAGCTGACTAGAGGAGATGACTTAACATCACCTCATCATCAATGCTCAAAGTAGGTCACCTGTAGGACCCAGACGTCTGAAGAGCCAGAATCAGTTATCATGCTGACTCTAATCATTATCCTAATTCCTCTACATTCGGCTGCATCACAATACAAAGCCACCTTCAATTAAGGACCTGCCAGGCAGTCTGCGGCCTTGAAAGAGACTTTAGTTTTGTGCCAAACACTGAGGCAGGCTCAACACGACTGTTCTTTACAGTCCAACTGCAGAGGCACCAGGGCTGAGAGCTGGCTGTGTGCGTGAGCTCCGGCCCGCGTTCTCCAGCCACTACCCCACAATGCCTCCCTCTCTGTGCCGTCTGCCTCTACACGAACTCTGGGAGGGGAAAAAAGTGAGCTGAGGGAGTTGCTTCTGTACTTCCTGGACAAAAGCCCTGCGAACTCCTGGATAACCTGCTCTCCACACAGCAGGCGACAGATGCACCTGAGCCAAGTGACAGGCGCAGTCCCTCCAAGCGTGGAAAATGCCTGACACTAAGAAAAAGGCGAGCTCGTGACGTTTCCAACGACAAAACAGCAGCTAAATTCCCGATCTCCTTGAACGCCTCCCAAATAAAGATCTCGTGTCTGTTTCACTTAGGAACAAAGTTCAATTTCAAAACGCCCGTCAAAAAGGAGTGGAGCCTATCATCCCACCCAACAGTAAGTCACTGACTTCCCCTGGCCAGCACCCGCGTTACTTTCAGGCCAGAGAGCCTTCTTAGCACAACACAACTTCGACAGAAAAGGCAGGATGGGGACCCCACTCCCTCCCCAGCTATTCAGCAACAAGCGATTACAGGCGCCCGTCGCGGCGCACCGGAGCGCTGGGGCGAGAACCCACGGACGCGCATCATGTTAGACCAAAGGTATGGGTCTACTCTTTCCTGCAGCCAGGACCAACAGATGACACCCTCCAGCTTCACATCCCGGCCCCCCCAAAGCCCCAGGGGCTGTCCCTCTATGCCCTAGGACGAGAGTCCGAGGCAAGAGTTTCCCGACTGCGCCGGGTCCAGAACTCGCTCCGGGGGCAGCCCAGCAAGCCGGGAGCGCCCCCGACCTTCGGCGGCTCGGGTCACCCGACCCCCGGGGCCGGCGAGAGGCGGCTGGGGCGGGGTGTGCGGCCCCGTCTGCAGGGAGGACGAGGGCAGAGGCCACCCCGCACCCCGTGGCACCCGGCTCGCCTCACTTCCCTCTCGGACGCGGCGAAGCCAGCGGCCGGGCTGGGGGCGGGGGGCCGGCCGCGACCCTCTCCTCGGGCGGCCAGGGGGAAAGCGGGGCGCCCCCGCCCCTAAGCGGCCGAGGGCACAGCCGGCGGGCAGAACCCGAGCCCGGGGCGCGCCCCGGTCCTCGGCCGGGTCCCGAGCGGACGAGGGCGGGGTCCGGCCCCGCGCACGCCCGCCCGCCGCCCCGCGTCCCCGCGTCCCCCGCGTCCCCCGGTCCCCGGCCCGGCACCTTTGATCACGTTGCTGTAGATGGTGGCGCGGAACTCCTCGCGCGCGCGCTGGTCGAAGTCCTGCCCGTGGATGATCCGCATCTGCTTCAGGAAAGTGGACTTGCCGCTCTCGCCCGCGCCCAGCAGCAGGATCTTCACGAGCCGCTTCACGTAGGTCTTCTCCCGGGACAGGCATTTGTCGATCTCCTTGGACTTGCGCTGCTGCTCGGCCTCCCCGCTCGTCAGCACGCAGCCGGGAAAGCACACGGACAGCACGGACCGCGACGGCAGGAAGTCCGCCATCTTGCCGCCGCCGCCGCCGCCTCGGCGGGCCCCTCCGGCTCCCTCCACCTCCTCCGCGGGCGGCGGGCGGCTCCGGCACCGCGGCTCGAGGGCGGGGAGCGCTGCGGCGGCCCGAGCGCGCCCGGGGAGGGAGGGAACCAGAGAACTGACTCGCAGGGCGGGCCGGGCAGGGCGGGCTAGGCGAACCGGGGAGGGAGGGAAGGAGGGCGGGCCCGGGAGGGGCGGCGGCCCCGGGGGCGTGCGCGCGCCCGCGGCCTCGCAGGGCACGCGCACGCACGCACGCCGCCTCCCGCCCAGGGCCGCCGAGTCACGCGCTCGCCGTCCCGCTTGCTCGCTCGCGTGCGCGCGCGCGCGGCTCGCGGAGCCGTGGTCACGTGGGCCGGCCTGGCGCGCGCCCGCGGAGCTGGACTTTCCGGGGCCGTGCGACTCCGGGGCAGTTTCCCGGAATCGCGGAGGCGGAAGACCCAGGTCCCGGGCGCTGCCCAGCTGCTGTCACCCTCCGCGCGCTCTAGCTCGAGGCCATTAGCTTGCAAATCGTTCCCGCAGCCGGCACGGGCGTGGAAAGTTTTGGGGGGCGTTTCTTAGCGTCACGCCCCCGACGCGAGGAGGCGCTTCCCCTGCCCGGGGCGATGACCCGACGCCGCCGTCGGCTACCGCGCCCCTGCTCCTCTCCGGGGCCCTGGGTCCGAGCTGACAGCACTGAGGCGAGGCCCGTGTGGCCGCAGCGGCGGGGTGGCCGGCGTTCTTCGACGGCGGACGGGCGCCGCGGCTCAGGCCCCGTATTCCGCGGCATGGGGAAACAGGGTGAGGTCATGGTGAAAATCCCCCTGCACCGGACACTGATGCAGACTCTTCCCCGCGAGAAGCAGATAAGCAGGCAGGCCGAGGACGGAGCAGGCACCCTTTAGGTTTCCTGCCGCCGTGCAGAGGATGTGACCAGCCAGGGGGCTTTTTTTTTTTTTTTAATTTTTAATCCTCCCAGCAGCAGCAGATTCAGGCCAAGGCACCTGAAAGGGCTGCGAGTGACAGCCGGGCTTGGCCCCCGGAAGCCGGCCTCTTCGTTCTTAGTATTCGGTTTCAGGTGGCAAAGGCCACGGCCGGTGTGTCTGTGTTTTGGCAATGCGACGTGAGACTCCTTGGTTTGGGCTCCTGTCACTCGGATTCCTGTGCGCTAGGCAGTTCGGGGGAAAGGTCAGCACTCTAAGGACAGGTTTCAGCGTCCACGTCAGTGCGCGTGGCCGAGTGTCAGGGGTTGAGTTAGTCACCGGCAGGCCTCATGATTCAGCCCGTTGGCCACAATGCCTGTAGTAGTAGGGCTGTCTCCTGCTGCCCTGGCCAGGCCGTGGGCTACCTGTCCACAGGCAGGGGAGCGCCCCTCCTGGAGATGTGGGTTGTCAGGGCCCGAGCCACCAAGCCTGGCAGCTGAGACATCCTGCATCCCATAGCAGAGTGCCTGGGTTCCAAACTCATCTCCAGCTTCCTGCTAGTGCAGACCAATAAAGAAATTGGTTTCCTACCACTGATATGGGAGATTTGGGATCCATTCCTGGTGCCTGGCTTCAGCCCACTCTCTGCCATTACGGGCATTTTGGAAGTGAACCAGCAGATGAGAGTATCCCCACCCCCCACCACTACCCCCCAAAAAAAGAATCACTGGGTAGTACTGTCAGGCAAAATGTACGCTGAATGGCAGATGTTTCTCTAATCCCAGCTTCTGCTGGGGAGACCCTGCTCTCTCACCCTGCAGTTGCAGCCCCTTGCCCAGGACAAGGACACAGCTCTGGCTGAGCACTCTCTCAGCATGCACTCTGGGTGCCAATGTGAGCTCAGCAGAGAGAGAAGGGAAGCCTACACATTAGGCTGAGTAACATTCACGTCTCTGTCTCTCTCTCTTTTCCCAATTGGGTGCAGCGAAATGGAAAGCCAAGCAAGGATGCCTAGGAGGCAGAAGATGATCCCGCCCAGCCAGTTCATGTTGTGGCACGCAGAATACCAGAGAAAGCTGTACAAAGCCCTGCGTGTAACCTTGTCTTGGAACAAGCGTAGAGGAAGCCTGGCTGCTCTAATCAGTGTTTCCCAAGGAGAGACCTCTTTTGGCCAGACCTGGGGTTTGGCTGTAGCTGTTCAACTTCTAACTGGTCATCGAGATACCTTGTAAATTGTAAGCATAAAAATGAGTTAGAGATTTGGTGGGTCTTCAAAAAGTTAAACATAGCATTGTCAAATGACCCAGCAATTCCACTGCTGGGTAGGTAGCCAAAAGAATTGAAAACAGGTGTCCAAACAAAATTGTGTATCCCCATGTTCATAAGAGCATGCTTCAGATTAGCCGAAAGGTGAGAATAGTCCAAGTATCCATCCCGAATGAATGAGTAAACCAAGTGTGGATATCCATGCAGTCGGATTATTCAGCCATGAAAAGGAACATAACCCTGACATCTGGTGCAACAAGAATGAACTTTGAAAATATGCTAAGTGAAATGAATGACCGGAATAGCCAAATCCATAGAAACAGAAAGCAGATTCTCAGTTGCTAGGAATTCAGGGTGAGGGGAAGCTGGGGAGTAACTGCTTAATGGGACGGGGTTTCCCTTGGGAGGTGATGAAAATGGGAACTGGGGAGTGGAGATAGCTGCAAACTTGGTGATTACACCAGTTGCCACTGAATTGTACACTTTAAAATGCTCACATGGTGAATTTTATGTTGTGTGAATCCTACTAAAATAAGTAGAGGTGGGCATTTGGGTCAGTACTTAAGATACCATTTGGGACACCCGCATCTCCTATCAGAGTGCCTGTGTTTGAGTTCCAGCTTCCAATTCTAGCTTCTTATTAATGTGTACCCTAGGAGGCAGGAGGTGATGGCTCAAGGTCAAGGCTTAGGTCTTTGCCACCCTCATGGGAAACCCAGAGTGAGCCCCAGGCTCTTGGCTTCAGCCTGGCTCAGCCCTGGCCATCCATCTATCTCTGTTTCTCTCTCTCTCCCTCTTTTTCAAATGAAAATAAATAAAAATTATTTTAAAATGTAGGCTAGAGGAAAGATATTTTCCATAAAAGAAGTCATTATTATCATTTGACATTGAAGCACCCCCAGTGTGTAGTATTGTAGTATTCAGTAAGTGAAAATGCCATTATGTTTATTGTAAAATAATTCTAACAATTTTTAAGTTTTATTTATTTATTTGAGAGACAGAACTCCCATCTAGTGGTTCATTCCCCAAATGCCTGCAACGACTGGCCAAAGCCAGGAGCCAGGAACTCAATCCAGGTCTCCCACGTGGATCGCAAGGACTTGAGTACTTGATCCATCATCACTGCCTCCCAGTGTCTGTGTTAACAGGAAGCTGGAGTCAAGAGCTGGTGCCAAGTGTGGAACCCAGGTGCTCTGATACAGTTTAAGGCATCTTAATCAGCATCATTAGGCTAAATGCCCATCCTTAATACATTTTGTTTTGTTTATTTGAAAGACATAGTGACAGAGAGAAAGATCTTCCATCTGCTGGTTCCCTCCTCAAATGCCCATACCAGCTGGGGCTGGACCAGTCCAAACCCAGGAACCAGGGTCTCCATTCAAGTCTTCCGTGTGGGTGGTAGGGACCCAAGTACTTGAGTCACCATCTGCTGCTCCCAGGCACACTAGGAAGGAGCTGGCTGGGAAATGGAGCAGCCAAGACTCAGACACTCCACATGGTATGCAGGCGTCACTCACTCCGCCATGATTGTAATTAAGGGCGCCAGATGCACATCTGTTGTAGCAGTTACTTCAGGTTACATTGTAATGCTACTGATGACATTGTAACTTTTTCTGATAGATTGTTTCATAGCTGAAAAATAATTCAAACTTCTTAAGAAAATATAGTCTATTAGTTATAATTCAATCTGTTGAATGCTCTATTTCCAACAGGTCCAGATGGTAATACCTTGGAAACGTCTGCATTGTGGCTAGCCAGTTAATCTAAATGCAAGCAAGGGGTTTGCATGCCCCCTAGAGCTGTGATAAAGTTCTAGAATGAGTCCCTTAGTTGTAATGCTCTTTTCTTTCTGAGAAACTCAAAGCTTGAGATAAAGTAGGTCAAAGTGCTTCCTTGCAGTCTTTCAAGGTAAATAATAAAAAGTGTAACTGAAAATGAAATACACTTCTAAATGACTTTTCTCTTACCACTGTAGGAAGGAACACACCCTTCCCAACAATACTGCCATCTTGAAATCTGGTACTTGTAACTTTGATTAGAGCTGAAAGATAAGGCTTCTATCTTATAGTCACCATTTATTTGCAATTAAAAAATGGTATTACTTAGCTTATTTATCAGACTTCCTGCCAAATAACTCTGGGCTGTTTACAAAATTCAGGATTATCCACAAAGGACAAAAATGTGTCACCCTCAGACATATTCAAAAGAATGTGCCAGAGGCACTCGGAATGGTTCCAAAAGAAGAGTTAAAAAGCCTTTTTTTTTTTTAATGGCAGGAAATATTTAAATAAGTGTTGTGCTTGCCAGAGTACTACTTGCCATTCGGGATGGGACAACACCCACTTAGTTATGTTTATTTAAAGATCAGTCATATTACTTGATGGCTAAACCTTGGGTTAATTTTCTAATAGGGATGACACCACACACGGAGTGCTTATTACACAACTCTCTTCTGTCTCACCATCCATTTATAACAGATGGCTAGGAATCCTTTCTGACAGATAAAGCAGCCAGGGTGTTTTCATACCTTCCTGCCCTACTGAGAGGAAGGGAATTCCCAAGCCCTTCCCATAATACAAATCCCTTACATTTGTAGAGTTTCAAATGCCTCAAAGCACTTTGACCTACTTTATCTCATTTGCTGCTCACAATAGCATGACTAGGAACACCCAGCATTAACCTTACTCAGACTGGCCACAAGGAACAGCTTAGGGGAAATCAGTTGAAGCGACTTTTTCAAAGCTTCCCTCACTGTGGCCAGAAGCAGAGCCAGGGCTGAAAGCCCCATACTTTGGCTCTTAGCCCAGTGCTCTTTCTGACTGCTTGAAATTGCCGTGGTGTCCAGAATGCCCAGGCATATAAAGGTGAAACTTACTTGAGACAAGTAGCTAAGTGTCTGTGCCTTAGCCTCAAGGCACCAGTAGTGTTGTTGGCTGGTTGGCTGGTTGATTGGTTGGCTGCCTGGTTGGTTGGCCTGGCTCTTCAGCCTCTCAGGCTGACTGCCATCTTGGACTTCCCCAGTGAAGATCTTTCATTTGTCCTCTGAGCTCAGGGGCTGGTTTGCAGAAATGGCCCAGGTGGCTTATGGTGAACGAAGAAGTAAAGAGGAGCAAAGTTACGCAATCTTTTCATGGTGTGTAAGCCCTAAAGGTGTTCACTGAATGTGAGTTAGATCTCAAAAGGCAACTTTTTTTCATGATGAAATTTGATCTTGCCCTTACCAGAATAAGCCTCTCCTGTGGAAAGTTTCATATGCAACTAGACATGTGGAATTGAATTGGTGGTAGTTTGGGTTGTTGTTATTAATAATGGAAAGCATGACTGTAATTATTGGTTGTATTTTTCTTAGCCTCTGAAAAAGATCTGTGAGCTGCTGTTGACCAGCTGGGGCTGCAGCTAGTCCCGAGTCAGCAGCCTTGTTGTCTTAAAGACACACACCAGCATGCATGTGGGTTCTTGCACCTTGCCTCCTGCCTCACACGGAGCACAGGCAAGCTGTTTGTGTAACGCTGAACACAAGGCTTTGCCTATCAATCTGCGATTCTTTCAGGGAAATCAAGACAAGCTGCTTAGCCCTCTCCTAGATGTCTCTTCACCACTTTTAAACATCAGTGATACTGTCTGTTTTACAGGCTACCTCTGGGCAGAAACAGGCAGAGTCTTTAGCGTGAGTTCTGTTCCTCCCAGGAAAGTTCCAGTCTCAGTTTATTCCTGTGTCTGTCTTAAAATCCTCTGCTCCCGGTGGCAGCAGATGTCTTCCCTCGGCACACTGGATCAGCAGGCTTGGACCTGCAGCTTCCAGCAGCCACACTCCTGACTAGCAGGCTCCTTCCACGGGTAGTGTTAACGTGTCTCAGCCTGCAGACCTGGCCTCTGCTTCAGTACAAAACAGCCAGGGGCATCAGCTTGCTGAGTTTACTACCGAGCTCTAAACAGCTCATCCAGGGGCACTGAGAGATGGGCCGTGTGGCCTACGTCAAACTGCGGCAGGCTGGCTCCCGGAGCAGAGAGCGTCATCGACGCATCTTTCTCGAAACAACTGTGTCAGCTACTAAGCCAAAGAAAGGCGGGCCCATGGCAGGGTTCAGGGAAAGGCAGCAAGTGCTGAGTCAGAGTGACAGAAGTAGAGGGCTCTGTGGCCAGCATCCCTCTTCTGCTGTACGTATTAACTTTTTTGCTGGCCTTGGGGAGGTCCTGCCAGGCCCCAGCAGAAGAGGAAGTAGAAGCAAGGGAAGCATGGGCCAGCAGGTTATAATGCAGCAGGTTAAGCCACTGCCAGTGACTCCAACATCCTGTATCTGAGTGTCTGTTCAAGTCTTGGCTGCTCTACTTCTGATCCAGTTCCCTGCTAATGCACCTGAGAAAGCAGCAGAATGGTTTAAGTGAGCGTGGGTCCCTGCCATCCACATGGGAAACCTGAATGGAGTTCCAGTCCCCTGGATTTGGCCTGGCCCAGCCCCAGCTATTGCTACCTTTGGGGAGTGAACCAGAGGGTAGATGATCTCTCCCTCTGTCTCTGTAACTCTGCTTTTAGATATATAAATAAATGTTTAAAAAAGAAGAAACAAGCAAAAAACCAAGGGGAAGCTGCTCTACGTGTTTCAAAGCAACTTTGTTCTTATGATTACATTTTTTAAATTTTGGTGTTAATAAGCAGAACTGTAATAAGAAAAAGTCCCTTATTTAAGGAGATAATCCACTTTCTGTCTAAATCCATGGGAATCATATCAAATTGTTTCCCAGGCATTGTATTTTCTGGAATGTGGTACAGCGGGGGAGAACTGGAACAAGAGCTCAGTTAACTGACCTGAGCCTTGCCTTTCTTAACTGTATAATGGGAGTGGCCATATGTGTAGGTTTGTCATGAAGATGAAATTATAGAACAAATGCAGTCAGTGCCTGCCCGTAAATGGAGTTTTCCTTTTAGTCTGCTTGAAGGGAGGAGTCTGTAAGAGCCCTGTTGAAGGCTTAGCAGTATTGTCCTTGTCAGAACGCTCCCCTCTGTCTTTCCTAAGCCCTTCTTTCTATGGTTTAAACACATTTCTTCTCTTTCCTAGGCTTAGATTCAGTCACAGCTACTGATGTGCACGCCAGCAAGAACTGTTACCATCAAATGGATATGATACAACAATGAGAAAAAGACCTGAATATGAAGGGTTGTCCCCTAAATTTCAGTACTGAAGAGGGGCAGGATTTGTTAGTTCCTACCTAAAACCTAAGGGATCAACTCAAAACCAGAAAGCAAAGGTGTTGGGACCAGCGCTGTGGCATAGTAGGCTAAGCCTCCACATGTAGCGCAGTATCTCATATGGGCTCCAGGTCGTGTCCCAGCTGCTCCTCTTCTGACCCAGCTCTCTGATGATGGCCTGGGAAAGCAGTGGAGGATAGCCCAACTGCTTGGGCCCCTGCACCCACATGAGAGACCCGGAAGAAGCTCCTGGCTTCAGATTGGTCCAACTCTGGCTGTTGCAGCCATTTGGTGAGGGAATCAGCAGTTGAAGACCTTTCTCTCTGTCTCTCCCTCCCTCTATAACTCTACCTCTCAAACAAGTAAATAGATAATCAAAAAAAAAAAAAAAAAAGAAAAAGAAAAAGAAAGCAGAAGGGTTGGCATGGGCTTTGTTTTCTAATCTGTAAGGTGGGCATGGTGTTTGTACTGGTTGTGGTTCTATGAGGTTACAGAGCTGACCTTCCATCAGTGTGGTCACATGTCCTTCTGTCTGAGTGCTTACTTATCCAGTTAATGGACTTGTATCTGTCATTAAGATTATGGGCATGAATGTGGCTACATCAGCCCATGTTCCCACCCCCCTCAAAGAGCAGTCATTGATAGCCCTCAGGCCTGGGGGTGGGCTTGTTAGTGGGTAGTACCCCCTCAGGGCAGACCCATACCAAGGGGAACCATACCAATAGGGAACCTTGGAGTCCTGCAGTACGTGAATTTGGACTAGAGTGGAGCATGGGCTCCAGTGGTCCCTTGGCCTTGCCCCATCCATAGGAACAGCACCAAGAGAAGGCCAGAACAGGACCCTCTTAAACTCAGAAAGGAGAGGAACTCTCTTCCCTGGTGGGAAGGGTGGTACTGGCTGGGAAGACACCATGAGTTAACATCTGACTTGTCCCCTTTCTCAGGAGCTGAGCCAGACCTCGCAAGTTCTCCGGATCTTCAAGCGAGTCCCAGTGGAGACACTTCTGAATGCTCAGCTGAAATGCGGCAGTCCAGTCCTTGGCTGGAGACTGTGTGCCCCGCCCGTAGGAGCCAAGCCTCCGGTTGTCACTGTCCTTCCCAAGGCTATTGGACAGGAAGCCCAAGAGCACAAGTGTAGAGCAGCGGATGCACAGTGTATAAGCTTTGGTGCTAGCCCTCGGTTATCCTATCACCCTGGGTTTCTGCTACACAAAGAAGTAGTTCTCACCAAGGCTTCCCTCTTGTGGGATGGCCTCAGCAATGTGCTAATGTTTTAAAAGATTAACAGGCAGGCATTGTTTTGTAGCGGGGAAAGCTGCCACCTGAGACTCCACCACAGGCTTCCCATATGGACTCCAGTTCAAGTCCTGACTGCTCCACTTCCGATCCAGCTCTCTGCTATGGCCTGGGAAAGCAGTAGAAGATGGCCCAAGTCCTTGGGTCACTGCACCCACTTGGGAGACCTGGAAGAAGCTGCTGGCTCCTGGCTTCAGACGGGCCCAGCCCTGGCCATTGCAGCCATTTGGGAAGTGAACTAGTCAATGGAAAACCTCTCTTTGTCTCTCCCTGTCTCTCTGTAACTCTGCCTTTCAAATAAATAAATAAATAAATCTTTAAAAAATAAAAAAATGAAAAGATTAATACCTTAAACCCCCTTAGGTAGTATTCTTCTGTAAGAACTAAGCAAGTCACAGAGACTCTTGGCTAATTTGTTACAATTAAGGAATTGGGATTTGTAGGGATATTTGACTCCTCTGGGACAGATTCATAGCAGGCAGTAGATATAATAAAGAGAACACAGTGAGTTCTGATGGACAGTCTGAAGGAGCTGGGAACCCACAATATATGTCTTGGTTCCTGAAAAATTTGCCTCTCCATGGCCCTATTATTAATTATTTAATATTCTTTATGGATGAGGAAATAAATACTAAAAGTGGGTACATTATCAATAGTGAGAAACTCTATAAGGTTTTAAAAATATATGTATATTTATTTATTTGAAAGGCAGAGTTACAGAGAGTGAGAGAGAAAGAGATCTTCCATCCGCTGGTTCACTCCTCAAATGGCCACAATGGACAGGGCTGGGCCAGGCCGAAACCAGGAGCCTGGAACTCCATTTGGGTCTCCCACATGGATGGCAGGGACCAAGTACTTGAGCCATCATCCACTGCCTTCCCAGGCTCATTAGCAGAGCAGCCAGGACTTGACCCAGCATTCCAGCAGTTTAACCTACTGCACCACAATGTCAGCCCCTCATCAGAGATTTGATCTGTATATAGATTTCATAACATTTATAATCTTAAAAAAGTAGCTTTACAAAACCAAGTTGTCCCAAACATGCTTAAATGTTTTCTAATAACTGATCTGAGTACCAGTCTTTAAATTCAAATTGAAGTTGAATAAAATAAAGACTCAAATCCCTCAGTGACATAAGCTGCATATCGAGGGTTCAGTAGTTACGTGGGGCTGGTGGCCATTTCCTGGACCAATGCATGGGAAGTGGGCAGGAGCTCTGAGGGGCTGGAGATGAAGCAAAGAGTGAGGAAAGGCATCCCAAGGCAGGAGGAACAGCCTGGGAGTTGGCGTGTGCCTCGCGTGAGCCTAGGACAACATGGAGGCCAGTTTGCTCAGAACCCATGGGGTGAGGTTTAAGAGACAGGTGGAGTCAGATTGGGAAGGGTTTATATAGGAGTATGTTAAGATGTTTTGCTTGTTTGTGTGTGTGTGTGTGTGTGTGTGTGTGTGTGTTTGCTTTGTTTTGTTTTGGGAGGTTTTAAAAAATGTTTAATTTATTTGAAAGGAAGACACACACAGAGGTCTTCCATCACACCAGTACACTCCCCCCAAATGTGGGCTGGCTGGAAGCCAGGAATTTAATCTGGAGTCTTCCAATAAGTACTTAAACCATCACCATTGCTTTCCAAGGTAAGCATTAGCAGGAGACTGGAATTGGGAGAGGAGCCAGGCCTCGAAGCAGCCACTTCAATATGGGACATGGGAGTCCCAAGCTGTGATGTTAGGGTTTTATCCCATCCACGAAAAGGAACCGCTCAAATATTTTTGAGCAGGGGGCGGGTGACACCTGCAGCATTTTAGGTGCCAGTGCCCGTGAGGCGATGGAGAGGGCAGGATGGAGGTGGCTGTGGAGCCTTGGGTGTGCTGACAGCACCTGGCTAGCATATCAGCAGATAGAACCATCCAGAGGCTTTACAAAGCCAGGATCTGCAGGCCTTAGACACTGACCAAGTTATTTAGAAAGAGGGCCAGGAAAGAGGTGGAGGCGGGGGAGTCTTGGAGCCTGTGTGCCTGGGAGACACTGAGAAGTTAGGAAATGGCTTCCTGGGACAGCAGCTGAACCACCTGGTGTCTATTTTTTTAAATTATTTTAAAGCAAAGACATAATTTATAGTACCTGCCCCACCCTTTGAGTCACACAGTGACTACTCCGGACTTTGCCCTGAGATTGTAAGAGACACTCCTGAGTTCAAGGGAACTCTCGGAGGGGCAGGGTCCAGGCTGGAGCTGAATCGAGGGCCCTTCGTTCTCAGAAAGGGCTAGCGGCAGCCCCCTGCTTCCTGACTGCTTTGTTACAGCCCCGCCATCCTCCCTGGGAAGGCCTAGCTGCCCAGGTGAATCCAGGTTTGCTGGGAGACAGGAGGAATTGGCTCCTGCAATCGTCCATGTCCGCAGCTCCCTACGGTCCCCAGCCTCCAGGTGTACACAGTCCAGATCAGAAGCAGATATCCCGGGGCTCATCCAGGTGGGGACCCATCCACCCACTGTGCTCTCTGTGACATGAAACAAGTACAACACTGCGCTGTCGAGAGTGTGGGGAGTGCCCGCTCTGGGCCAGGCATGCTGCTGGGTGTTGGGCATGAAGGGGAAGGAGTTTATGAGGAGTTTACAGTGAGCAGGGCGGATCAGCCTCCCGGTCGCCTCTGTGCCAAGGGCTCTGTGCCATGTTGGGGGCAGGCGCAGCCGGCCAGGGCTGTGTGTGGGAGTTGAAATCTCTCGGCCAGGCTGGGAGCTCAGTGTGAGTCTTGAAAGAGGAAGTGAGGAGGAGGAGTGGGAGGGAGGACGTTCTGGGCTGGGATCAGCATGGGGTGAAGACAGGGGAGTGCAATGATAACGGGATGGCCGTGCCACAGTGGCACTGGTGGGTGTGTGCTGGGCACTGTGATTAGTCTCTCCTCACTTCTCAGATAGGCAAACTGAAACTATGAGCAGTAAAATGCCCCTCTCCAAGGTCACGCTGCAGGGATGGGGCTGGTTCAAACCCATAAATAGCCCCGACTCAGGCCACCTCTTTAAGCAGCAGGGATCTGAGAACCACACAGCAGCCAGTTGGGAGCATTTGGAGAACCCACCATTATGCGCAAACATCAGGTTTTGTTTCTGTCATGGATTAAGGGTGCCACGTGGCAATCCCTGTTGCTACTTGGAATAAACCAGAAGACCCGACCTGGTGCTTCTCCAGACAGGACACGAACAGGACTCCCGAGCTACTGACAGTAGCTTGGCACAGCAGCTGTGTGGGGCCGGCAGCGTGCAGGGCTGCCCCCACCCCAACCTGTCCAGGCAGCCCCCAGCTGGGTGGGCCCAGGCAGCCACTTCCTCCTGATGCTGGCTGGGCACAGGCCCAGGCTCGGGCTTTTCTAGGTCAGGCGATTCCGTCTTCAGCCAGGCCCGAAGATAGAGTCTGTGTAAACACAGACTATCTCCCACTCCAACATTTCCTTTGAGAGGCTCCATTCCAACTTCTTATCAACCCGAGCTTCCTACTCTGATATCAGGAAGCTATTAAAGTCCCTTTCCTGGTGCTGCCTTGACCCCACCAAAACATGCGTGTGTGGAAGCAAATGTCCCTTAAGGCAGACTTCACGCTCCCCAAACCCACCGCCCAGCCTCAAGCCCCCACGTCGAACCCGCCTGCGGGGCCTCGAGCCTGTCTTCAGCCAAAGCCGTGCGCCCGAGCGCCTCCTTTCTACGCCAGCTACTTTCAACGCCTTGTGCTCAGCTTCTCAGGCCTTCCGCGACCTTATTCACATTTTCCTCTTCGTCCTCTTTCCAAGCCCTCCCCTCGGTCCTGCTCATCCCTCCACCTTTTCCCCACACTGTTGCCCTCCTGGATGGGGAAGTCCTGTCCCCCTCTCCTCCCAAGTCCTTCCACAGGAAGGAACGTGAGGGAGGAGAAATGGCAAAGGCAGTCTGTCGCTCCCCGTCTTCGTGGGGGAACGACACAAGACCCTACGCTGTTCTTTCGTCTGCTCGGCCCTCCCCGGGTTTGCTGCTGGTTCTTCCCGGGTTGGCTACTATCCCTTCCACCTCCGTGGAAGGGCAGTTCCCCCTGGCTGCTTTCCCCACTTCCGCAGGGGAGCGGCACACCGCCGGCCGGCTTTTCTCGGGGGCTGCACAGGTGTTCCTTCAGCTAGATGTTCCTGGTGCATGCCGTCTCTCTCCTCCTTTATAGTCCTCCTCCGCCAATCCTAACTCGGCTGCCCACACGCCGAGTACGCTGCTCTCCTCCAATCAGTAGCAAGTCCTACAGTTTATTAGTTGAACTGGAGGCAGCTGTGCGGAAGCTGTTTACTTCTCTCCCAGCGCCATATTGTGGGAGAGCAGATGCATACAATAAGTCTTAATTCCAGTAACTCAGTCTAGTCCGGTTTGCTCCCCACAGCAGTCCTTCAAGATCAAGCAGAAAAATGATGCCAGCATTCCCGGCGTACTTCCTGTTCCTCCTGTTTCGTTTGAACTCCTGTGGAACTCTTGGTTTCTGCCACACAAGGTTGTATCCGTGGTGTCCAAACTACTCCCCTGCTTCACACCGGATGGACAGGACTGACCCATGGAGCCTATAGGACATTGTGGCACAGAGTGTGAGTGCCGAGGGTAGGTGAGGAAAAGTGCTGTGGCTTCTGCCTGGCTCTCGTGGTTGGCTTGCCAAGAGAGAAGCCGGTCAACTGCAGGACACCAGCTGAAGAAGCATTGAGGCCTCTTGCCAGCAGCCAGCCCCCACCTGGCAGACCCCAGCCAGGCCCCAAGCAGGCCACAGACAACAAGTCATCTGCAGCCTCTGAGACCCCCTGAGCTAGAAGCACAAAGCTGTACGCTGCTCCCCGATTCCTGCCTGTCTTACGATGTTTCCTCTCGTGATAATGGAATACCTGGAGCTGGAAACTGTGTAAAGATGTTTATTTGGCTTAGGAGTCTTATGGCTGCAAAGTCTAGAAAGGACGGGGACAGTGTCCTGCAGGGGTCTCCCGGCTGTGTCGCAACATGGAGGAGAAGTGGAAAGGGAACCGGTGCATGGTGAAGGGGCCAAGCATGAGGGGTGGCCTTGCTTCATGACGGCCCACTCTGCTGCGGGCTTTCTCATTCCTGGACACCAGCATTAATTCCTTTGGAGGATGCAGTTCCCATGACCTTCCACTAGACTCCGTCTCCCAAAGGCTCTCCCACCTCAACAACGCCCTGCTGGGCACAAAGCTCCAGCACACAGACGTCGGGGACCCCTGCAAACCATTCCCAACCTCGGCACTGACCAGTGGAACCCTGTGAGATACTGAATGTCATTGTCGCATTAAGCTACTACGTTTTAGGATGATTTGTTACACAGCCATCAACACCTAATTTAGAACTTAAATCATAAAAATGATCATAATACTAGCAGTGACCATGGCTGAGCTCTTGGTAAATGCCAGCATTGCTAACACTTTATGTGGCATTTAACAGCATAGACAAAGATCATAACTAAAACAAAAATGTGGCAGTAGCTACTTAACTGCTTCCCACATCCTGTTCCAGGCAGTCCCCGTGGAGGAGACACTGTGATTGCCATTCCCATTTTACAGATGAGAAAACTGAGATGTGCAGCACTGAGCAGTCTCTCCAGGGCACACAGCTTGGATGCGGCAGAGCTGGGCTTGACACTCAACTGGCTCTTCAGCCTGTGTCCCCACCACGCATCCCTGCGTTGTTTGTGTTGCTGTATGTGCTGGTCTTGGCTGTCAGTTTACCAAACTTTTATTAGTGACTTTCTTTTTTTTAATCATGTTTAAGAAAATTTATAGGGGCCAGCGCTGTGGCACAGAGGGTTAATGCCCTGGCCTGAAGCGCCGGCATCCCATATGGGCGCCGGTTCTAATCCTGGCTGCTCCTCTTCTGATCCAGCTCTCTGCTATGGCCTGGGAAAGCAGTACAAGATGCCCCAAGTCCTTGGGCCCCTGCACCTGCATGGGAGACCTGGAAGAAGCTCCTGGCTCCTGGCTTCGGATTGGTGCAGTTCCGGCCATTGAGACCATCTGGGGAGTGAACCAGCAGATGGAAGACCTCTCTCTCTCACTCTCTCTCTCTCTCCTCTCTCTGTGTAACTCTTTCAAATAAATACATAAATCTTCAAAAAAAGAAAAGAAAATTTATATATGTATTTGAAAGGCAGAAAGAGAGAAATCTTCCCTAAATGGCTGTGTCAGCTGGGTCTGGGCCAGGCTGAAGCCTGGAGCCTGCAGCTCCATCCAGGTCTCCAACATGGGCCCAAGCACTCCGGCCATCTTCTGCTGCCTTTCCGGGACCGTTAGCAGGAACTTGGATCGGAAGAGGAACAGCTGGGACTTGCAGCAGTACTCCTATGTGGGATGCCGGCGACACGAGCTGTGGGTTAATCCACAGTGTGTGCCTTTTGCCTCTGTGTGCCCACCATGGTGTGCACATCATGAGGGCTCCGTCCGTGCTTGCCAGCTTGCTGCTGTTTTCTGCTGCCTATCATCATTCAACCAGTGGCATCACAGTGCCACTGTGGCACTTTTCACACATCAATCCAGTAAAACTTTCCCAGGCAGGTCCACAACTGTATCACACAGAGAGACCAAGATGATGGCCTTGCAGGAAGAAATGCATTTTTTTTTTTCCAGTTTGACCCAAGAAGACTTCTCTCTGAGTGGCTCATCCAAACAGGCCGTAACCAGATGTAAGGCTGAGGTTGTGCCTTGAGGTTTGATCTGTGACCCCTCATGTGTCTTGTGTCTCCATCCTGCAGGCTCATCCCCAGCCCATTCTGGGGCATGTGTATATCCCACAGTGGACCCTGGGGACATTAAAAGTACCTGCCCTGGACTGACACTCAAACCTCTGGCACCTGGTTTCTCTGAAGCTCTGTATAAACATCAGTTTGCTTCAGCTCCCGCCTCCTGGTCTGGAAGTCGGAACTTGGAGAGCCTGGCAGGAGAGGGTATGGAGTCTGCAAAGATGGTCACCATCAGGGCGCTGGGCCTCCAGCTGAGGAGTTTCCTTTGTGTCATTTCGTTCCAGCTTTGTTGACGACTCAACAATTGCCTTGAACATTCATTTTAACCAACCATTGTGGAGCTCCCACCAGCAGCACAACCCCTGGCCATAAGGACGACGATGACAAGGTCCCAGCCTTCCCAGTGCTGACTGCTCGCAGAAAGACTGACCAAAGGGTCATCTATTATTCTATTGAGGGCCTGGACAGGGGAGGAAGAGGTTCAGGGGCGAGCGCTGAGTGTGGAAGCCGCCGGGCTCCGGTTTTCAAATTGGAACATCGTGGTCGCAGCCCCTGAAATGTTATCCCAGTGCCTGCTCCGCCTCCTGCATCTGGGAGCAGGATGTCAGGCTGCGTGGAAAGTGCTGCTTTTACATCCTGTTCCAAGGACTTCCTGGAAAGACAGAAGACAAGGAGATGAAAGCAGGGGCTCTGGAGCCCCAGCCGGCTCCTCTCTGCGGAGCAGTGAGTCACCCTGGGGAACAGCAGACTCCAGGAGAGCCTCCTGAAACTTTATGTGGTTGTTTTGACCGGAACATGGACCGCATCTGTCCTGGGGCTGGCCTGCGTGCATGTGTGTGTGCACGCAGGCTGTGCTCCGTTCATGGACACCCCCTGAAATCCAGAACTCCCACAGGCTCCTCCTGGTGCCTTAGCTGGCCAGAGTTCACTGACTCAACAACCAGCACTGGGTGCCTGGGTTGGGAGCCTTGGGGGTGGCAGACCCTGTGAGGAGCTGGGGGGTTGACTCTCCTTAGGATGCGTCCATGGGGTGACTCAGGTTTACAAATCACCACATGTCGCAGACCCAGAGCCAGCTGGGAGCACAGTTTCGTATCTACTTAGTATTCCCAGGAAACTCCACTTTCTGTTAGTATTCTGAGAGCCCTGCCTTCCAGTAAAGAGGGACTTAACCCGTTCCCAGCGTCAGCCTTCCCAGCTGGACGAGCTTCCCAGGACAGCCCTAACAGAGAACCAAAAACTGGGAGGCTTAAAACAACAGGAATGCACTGTGTCACCACTCTGGAGGCTGGAAGTACAAAATCAAGGTGTCAGTAGGACCCCTGGATTTCTGGAGCTTGCCAGACTTCTTGACTTCATTCCATGCATGTCTTTTCCCTGCGTCTTCACATCATCGCTCCTCTGTATCTCTGTGTCCAACTGTCCTGTCTACAGGGACACTAATCATGTTGGGTTAAGGCCCACCTGGCCTCATTTTAACTTGATGACCTCTGTAAAGACCTCACTTCCAAATAAAGCCACATTCTGAGGTCCTGAGTCTCAGGACTTCAATGCATGTGTGTGTGTGTGTGTGTGAGTGTGTGTGCATGTGTAGACTGCAAGAGGACATAATTCAACCCGTAACAGCAGCCTTATAAGACTGTTCTTGGCAAAACCCACAGCAACATAAAATTGTGGCCAAACGTCTGAACTGAGGGGTTCAAAGTCTTGTAAGTTTTCTGAACATGGCAGAGCACTGTAACCCAAGCCTTCTGGGTTTTCTACAACAGGGACAACACCACTCTTTCCCATTCTTCATAGAAAGGAGTCCCTGCTGATATATCTAGCACCTAAATAGTTCATCAAATGAAATATTACCTATGGATTCATTGGTCTATCTATCTCACTAAGCATTATCCATCTCACAAGGCACTCTGTGGGCAGAGAAGACATGATGGACCTAAACAAGAAATCACCATATATTGTGAGACCTGAGATAATAGGAGTGTGTACAAAGTGCAGGAAAGTAGAGAGGAAGGCCCGGGGGGCTTTACAGAGAAGGGTTTTAAAGGTTAAGCAAAAATTTGGCAGGCGGAGACTGGAGGTGTAGAACAACAGGGCTCATCCAGGGCACCACGAGCGAGCTGGTACTGGAGGACTAAAGTGCAAGGGCAGAAGGGGTGGGAGATGAGGCAGTAGGAGCAGGCAGGGGACAGATCATGATGTCTCTGTGTGCTCTCCAAAGACCCACGGGCTTCTTCTCCTGCGGGCCATCGCAAGGCTTGAGGATGTCAATCAAATCCCAGTGGAAGCAGATGACAAACTGGCAGTCCAGGAGGACTTAATCACGCACTGCCTGTGAAGTTTAGAGAAGGATTTAGAGAAACCGACAAAGGGCAATGAGGCACCCTGGCACTAGCCAAGGGGATGGCTGACTGCAGCAAGGGGCCAGGGTGAGAAGCAGAGTCCCTGGTAACTGGAGGGTCAGCCACTGATGAGGGCTGGACTTAGGCAGAGGGAGGTAGCCACCGCCCATCCAGGGAGCTCATTGATTAAATACCCGAGTGTCTTCCCACCCTCTAATCTCCAGGCCCAGTAGGAAGTCTAAGGGCATGGAGGCCCAGGTGATAAGAGTCTCAGAATCCAGCTGCCCAGGGCATAATGGTAGA